ATTAAAGTTGTATATGTAACCAATTATACTCTCACTAACTAATGTAAACCTACAAACAACTTAATAAAAATTAACTAATATCAAGACTTTGTTATAACAACAAAAAAAAATATATATATATACTATTAATAAATTTGAATAATTTTTTAAACTTTATACTTATTATAATAAACCCTACTTGTTTTTAGAGTTGTAAATCAAATTACATCAAATCATTCAAATATTAAAAGTATGAAATAATATTATACAAATAAATCTTAATAAAATCTATAAACAAAAAATTTGTATAGTAGAAATTTTAAATAGTGAAATAATATAACTTTTGACAATCATACTAGTTAATACTTAATAACTCTATATAAGATAACTAGCATATACAATCAGATGTATTAAATATATTAATTAAATTACTATATAGGTTAATAATCAGAGTATTTAAATAAATAACTCATAAGCAAGTTACAAATATAGTAGCATAATGTAGAACAAATTTTCATTTTATCATAAATAATTGTATTTTATCATGAATAATTGAAATTGCAACAGATAATATATTTGCGAAACTGATTCCTAATCGTAATCTTCGTATTTAAGTCCCACCTTCATGCTATGCTAAACTGTAACTGAACACATAATTCACTCCGTAAATAAAAGAAAAATCATTGTTATATACATTAAAAACTATGATTCATAATTAACACTTAATATTAAAGTCACCTTTCCTCCTTCAATAAAATAATTAAACATCTAATTTTTTTTTTTAAAATCTCTGTTTCATTCTAGAAGAAACAATTGCTAGATTCGCATTTACTTTACCAGGTGGACTACCTAAAATCAAAGAGACGATTGCATCTCGCGCGATTTTGATATTTTGAAAAGATCCTAGGATATGAATTGATCTTTTTTGCAAATAATGGAGAAGAGATGAATTAAATTTACAGTCAAATAAATTCAAATAAATTCAAAGTATAAAGCGGAATAAAAAATATATATATAAAATATTTATATATCAAATACATACGTATCAGCCAAAACCACTCTAGTTTTTGATGCATTTTCAATAGCAAATTTTACTCTCCCGTTTTTACCAGCAATGCGACCTATAGCGCGAGATAAATGATCACCCTCTAATGTTTTAACTATAATTTCAGGTAACAATTAGTATATATTACACATAATCTTATGAAGAATTAAATTTTCTTCTTAAAAAAAAAGTATACCATCTTTAATATCGAAAGAATCAATATAAAGATCATCTACACGTAATATGGCAATAGCATCCTAGTTTGATCAAAGATTGTAAATGTAAATGTAAAAAAAATATTATGAAAAATTATTCGAATTATTAAAAGAATTGTTAATACATTACGTCAATATTAAATCCTAACATGAAAGCTTTAACAAAGTCGGCAGCCTTTTGAAGTGACCCTGAATCTGTCGTATATTTGGATGTCTAGGATAAGTCAGTATATGTTAAAATATAATACCCTTTGCAAAAATTTGACAAAAAAATTAAAATTACTCTTATTTCGACGCGCTTTGCTTTAAGATTCATTCTAACTTGTAAATTCAGATGTTTAACAAGAGGTTCGTAAATTTTTTTCCATTCTTTTAGTAAAGGAGCAAAACGGTGTCTCGGAACAGGAATTTCACGAAATTGTGGTGAGCCTGCCTAAAAAACAATTACAATAATTACGATTTGAAATAATTTCCCGGTAAAGAAAGTTCATAAATATTAAAAGAACTATGAAAATAATTACACTCAATTCATGTCTTCTAGCACGCCTAAACTTCGGTTTACTACATTCACTAATAACATTATCAACCACCATATCAGACTTTTCGGTTTCGACCTCATTGCTAGTAGTTTCTTCAGTTTGATTTATATTGATAATTTCTTTCTGTTGATTATTTAGAATTGTGTTGGGAACAAATTCTGGATCAATTATCATCGATTCTTCTGAATTAGCTTGCATTTTGATCTATCGCTATTGCAATGATAAAAAAAAATTTATGAATCTATCCATCTAATATTATATCACGTGTAACAGTACATAATTGAGGGTCGTCTAACGGGAAATCTACGGACAGTGCTTAGGGACAGTGCAGTCACGTGATTAACAATATTGGAATTTTAACGAAGATATTTCGACAACCATCTAATGAAATTCGTTTTTTTTTTTTTTTTTATAGAATGAGGCCTTGCCTTGGATTTTATTGAGTTTTATAATATAAGTACAAATTTTGTGTTATATTAATGAACTACTATTATCTAAACTAGAGCTAGTTTACTTTTTAGCCTATACTCTACTAGAGTAGGCCATCAGCCTTATCTAGATTTGCAGTTGGATCTTTGCTATGAATATATCAGTGATGTTATATTTTGTGTAAACTTCTAACCATGTTTCTGTTTTATCTTTTATCATTTGAGTTTTTATATATTTAGTAGTAGAACTACTAGTAGTTATTGGTATAGTAGTGTTGTTATATTGAGTAGTATTAAATAGTTGTGGCATTATAAGATTCAGATTTGTTGATATACTTTGTGTATAATTTTGTATAAAAGGTGAGCGGAGTGCAGTATATCTTTGCTTTTAGCAGTTAGACTTTGAGAGAAATAGATAGTTAATATTATTAGAATAAGACTATGAAAAATATTGTATAGATTGTTTAGGATATTTTCTGATTGTATCTTGAGATGCTATAGAGAGGTATAGATAATATCTGTAATAGAATTTTGGTTAGAGAGTTTGATATGTTTGTTTATATATTTGGTAGTAATTGTTTCGATAATAGTTGAGATATTAGTATAATTTTTGTAACAAGTAATCTAGTAGTTATTAGTTTCAATAGTTGTGTTGCAATGTTAACAAATATTTGTATTTATTTTGTTAGAGTAGTGAATTAGAAGATTTTGTTAGGTTAGAAGTTCATCTAGTAGGAATTTTAGCTTGAATGTCTTTAGTGTAGAGTGTTTTGATAAGGTGTAAAGACTGTTTGAAATATTGTGAATATTAATATATTTATAGAATGTTTCCTAGTTTGTATTAGTACTTGTGTTGTTCTAGTTTTCTGTACATTTTTGTAAATACCAAGTTGTAGTATAGTTAGCTTGTTATATGTATTTGATGACTGTTTGTATTCTATTGTCAATTATATTCTAGTGAAAGTAAGATATGATAATATTATGATCAATATTAGTATTCAAAAAAACAAGATATAGTATATTAGAAGGATTAGTATATGATAAGTTTTGTTGATCAGAGAGAATTATTTGTAGTTTAATATTTGTTCAAGCAAGTATGATAAATATAAGGTACCAGAGTAGCTAGTGTTTGTTTTTCTGTATTTTGTTAATCCAGTATAATATTTGTTAGTTAATTAGGTTGTAAGTATTGATAATAGTATTTGAGGTTGTAGCTATAGTGAGTATATAGTTAAGTAGAAGAATAATAAGTATAGTAATTATTGCTATGCAAATTGCTCTTATATTGTAATTGCTATTGAGTGATTTGAGCAGTAAAGGTATCTTTGTTATTAATTTTCTAAGTAAAGTAGGTTTTTGCTTGTATAGTTTTTGGTAAGTTGCAAAATGTATCTATGTTGACTATGTAATAGTGTTGCTTAGTAATTGTAGATTTTATTTTTTGTAATAAGTTTGTTGCAGGTCTATTTTGGAATTTAGTAGTCATGAGGTTAGAGTCATTATGTATATTTAGTATATTAGAGTTGTTGTTAGTGTTGTAGTTATTTTTTTGAGTAAGATAAGCTATGTATATATCAGTGATATTGAATTGAAGTAAATGTATATGAGAAACATGAATTGGTAGTAGATGTTTAGTATTAGTTTGTATAATGCAGTAGTTAAATCTATTAGTAGTTGTTATCAAATTGTATCTATTGCATCTGACTAGTTTTGGTTTGCTGTGAGTTGAGTTGTATATCTAATATATTAAATTAGTAGTCAAATATTAGTAGTTAGTACTTTTTTTTTTTTTTAACCTTTTCAGCAAGTCATGCCAATACTTTATTTGCAATAAATTTTGTGTTCGACAAAAATATTA